ACCAGATAAAACCTAAACGATACCCATCCCTAGTGAGGAGTATGAACGGCCATAATGGAGGTTTCCATCAGTAAAACAGTCCAAAGTTTGAGCTTGTTTGTGGCTCAGAATCATAAACAGCCTGTGATCTCACTCAGACACTGAGCCATGGCTCTGTGCCACATGCACACATTTCTGCATCTCTGCATCCAAACACACTTTATATACACTTCATGTTCTGTCACTGTCAACACTGAGCTGCACATCGAGTCTTTTTAAAGGAGCAGTTTGTGTTGCTGTGCTGGACGAGTTTGCCCTCCACAGTGGGACATGACTTTACCGTCTCTCTGTGGACCACTACACTCGCCGTCTTCTCTGCAGCTCCAGTGTCTCTGTGGACCACGCTGCTACCAGCAGCTGTTAAGAAAGAAAACAGATTTCCAGTTTCAGTTGTGCAACAAGCCTTCATTTCTTCCACTGTGGTGGAAACAGTTGTTTCAACATCAGCAGAATAATGACATATTGACACAATCACTAATGCACACTGTCACGAGCGCCGACCATGTGGAGAGTGTGTTTGGTGGACTCAGGTGTGACACAGACGCAGGAGGCAAAACTTGTGCTCAGCTCAAAGCGAGCCTTCAATCAGGGCTGATACAGAAGGCAAAATAAACCATAAACTATGGGAACGACAAACTAAAAACCTAAACTGGGAGTAACTGAGGCTCTGAACGAAGACCAGGACTGAACTATGACTGTGGACAGACTGAACACGACATGAGAAACTGTGAAGATCTCGGTGCTGGCACATGAAGGTGCAGGGAAACATGACTGGAGAAAGTGACTATGAACATGTCCAATACCGACTCTTGCAGACTAGAATCATGACGTGCAGCTAGAAGTAACAGGGAGCATGAACAGACGACACTAACACAAAGACACACTGGGCTAAAATACACGAGGAAGTCATCAAGGAATCAGAGACAGAAGGAGACACAGCTGGGAGGAGTAAGACCTAACGAGACAGCAAAGCCAGAAACATAAGACAGGAACATGAACCTTCAGAGTAAAACAGGAAACAAAGACGCAGACACGACACAGAGACAGATACTGAACTAAACCTGCAACAAACATGAGAACAAAACCTACGAACTAATCCCTAAACAAGAACAACTGACACATAGATTCATCATCATCATCATCATAATAAGGAAAAGGAATCCAAAATGCAAAAACACACCAAAACATAACTCAAAATACTGACACAGACCCGTGGCAGCATAAATAATAATGATTCTTTTAAATTCAGTAGTCTGTGAAACACTCAGCTCAGCACAGCGTCCACCAGTCAGACCAC